GCCCTTGGTGCGAGCTCGGAATATGCCAAACACTGCAATCAGGAAATACCCGACTTGCCGCTGAACTTCACTACACTCCGCTCATCTCCCATAGCCAACTCCCTTGCTTTCCAAATTGGTTTCTTTTCCGGCGGCGATTCCATCTTTTCCCAATCAAATTCACCTAATGAATTCCCCAAATCTGCCATCTTCGGCTCTCTTAATGCCTTCCAGGCGATAACAAACAATAATGATCACCAACCAAGTGTTTTCAAGATTAAAGGAAGGCTTTCTTTGCTAATTCCAAGATCCTTATCTGTTTCCCGGAAAGGCGGGATTTTGACAGAACGCCGAGGCTTACGGTTCCGGGTCAGGGGACCGCGGATTCCGGTGCTTGAACGAGGTGTACAAAGTTTTTGGCTGAAAGGGTTTTGGTCGGAATCTACTGGGAGGCTTTGTATGGTTGGATCGGGGACGAGTCATGGAGATGCGGGTAAGTTCAAATCTTTCGGTGTTGTTCTCAAGCTTACCTATTCGAAGAATTCAAGTATTTTTGGAAGTTTTGTTAGTGGAGTTCTGGAAAGTCTGGATGAGAAAAATGGTTTTAGCTATTTTGAGCCGGTATCGATTTTGGCTGTTCATGACCATACTGATGAGTACAAGTACACATTGGTTAATGGTGGAAATGGGCATTCAGGTTTGAGTGAGGATGATGGAGGGGAGAGTTTGTCTCTCAGTGATGTGAAAGGAGGAGTGTGTTCTGTTATCAGGGAACGAACTCTTAGGTTTGAGTTGGAATATAGGAGTGAGTGTGCCAATGCTAGTTGCAGTCCTCTTCATAGGGATGTTGGCTATGTACCTAGTTTCATGTTTTTCAGACATACTAGATGTGTGGATAATGGGAAAATGCAGATTTTATTGGCTTTTCGAAACTCTAGTGCTCTTGGTAGGACCATGTTTCCTTTTGATCCGAACACCACATTGATTGCTGAGGGAGCATGGGATGAGAAGGAGAATAGGCTTTATGGTGTTGCTTGTCAAATTCTTAATTTCCCGCATTCTTCTTCTGATGCTTTTGTTGGAGACTGCTCTACGAAGTTCAGCTTGAGATTTCCTATGATTTTGTCTTTGAGGAAGAGGGGTTCACTTGTGGGGCAAATTTGGAGCAACGAAACTGAGAATGATCCTAGTAACTTTGGGAAGATTGGTTTCAGTGGTGTTAGACAACTGTCAGTGGGTATTCCTGGTTTAAAATATGAGTATACAGAGATTGATGGGGCTAGAAAATCTTGTGCTAATAAAAATACTGCTAAACTTAAGAGGAAGACATATCCTGAGGGGCATTCATTGGACATGAGATTCAACATTTTGTTGAGGAACAGTGAGAGACAAACAGCCTATGGTTTTGCATCCCCACTATTTGTGGGTGATCAGCTTTATACAAACCAGCATGATGGGCTATGGCAAAACCAGAGACCTGCATTTCATCAGAGCAATAACAGTGGCAATCCTTTGAACATCAGCTACGAGATTACTTTTGTATCTGATTTCGATTTTGGCGGCAGGATTCCTATATCCAGAGAGGTTGAAATTTCTGCTGAAGGAATATATGATAGAGATACTGGTCTTTTGTGCATGATAGGATGTCGGCATTTAGGATCAACAAGTCAAAAGTTGATGAATGATCATTCACTGGACTGCAATATTACGATTACCTTACAATTTTCTCCATTAAATACTGCAGGAATTGATCATGTCAAGGGAGTTATTGAAAGCACTCGATCCAAGTCTGATGCTCTTTATTTTGGACGGATTGATTTGTCTTCAAGATCAATATACACTCCACAGGCGGAAGAATCCATATGGAGAATGGATCTGGAGATTATTATGGTTCTGATTTCTAATACACTTGCATGTGTATTTGTTGGTTTGCAACTTTTTCGTGTGAAGAAACATCCAGACGTGCTTCCCTTCATTTCTGTTGTGATGCTTATTGTTCTTACCCTGGGGCACATGATTCCGCTATTGTTAAATTTTGAAGCCTTATTTGTAAAGAACCATAATCAGCGGAGTGCTTTTCTTCAGAGTGGCGGATGGCTTGAAGTTAATGAAATAATTGTAAGGATGGTAACAATGGTAGCTTTTCTTTTGCAGTTTCGTCTTCTCCAGCTCACATGGTCTGCAAGACAAAGTGGTGATAGTGAAAAGGGCTTGTGGGGTGCGGACAAAAGGGTTTTATATTTGTCTCTACCATTGTATATTTGTGGTGGGTTGATATCTTGGTTTGTGCACCAATGGAATAACTCAAAGCAGAGCCCATTTCTACGACCACACACAAAATTTTATGTTGTACAACCAAAGGAGATTTACCAGAAATCTTCTCTCTGGACTGCCCTGAAATCTTATGGTGGGTTGGTACTTGATGGTTTTTTGCTTCCACAGATAGCATTCAACTTATTCTCCAACTCAAGCAAAGAGGCTCTTTCTGCTTCCTTCTACATTGGGACCACCCTGGTTCGTTCGCTGCCTCATGCATATGATCTTTATAGGACTCACAGCTCTTCAGGATACCTTGATTTCTCATACATATATGCAAATCATAAGATGGATTTTTATTCCACTGCATGGGATATCATAATCCCATTTGGCAGTTTGTTATTTGCCTTCTTGGTCTTTTTGCAACAGAAATTTGGAGGCCGCTGTTTTCTCTCCAGGTGGTATAGAGAGGGTAATGTATATGAGATGGTGGCTACAGTTAGCAGTGAGGAGTTGCAAGGAGAATCTGTTCAGAAGAATTTTTATAGTTTATAGTACTCGAAACTTTGTTCCATCCATACTCTATTTGCCATGTTCTTGGACATTCCTGCCTTTGAGTATAGAAATGTTTTAGTTCATTAATTGAGTTGAATCTATATATTTTACTTACATGAGATTAATGAACTTGAGGTACTTTCTTTCCAGGGAACCAGCTTCTGCATGAATTCATTTTAATCCATGTTTCAGGTTTAGAGTAGCATTTGAATCTCCGAGATTTCTTAGCTTCATGCTACTTCCAATTCCAGGCATTGATTCATTCACATTTTTTAACAAAGTGCTGGTATCATCCCTGCAAATTGAATAAGAACAAGGGCTACGGATTTGGATGCACCTACCATTGCAGCTAATACTGCCAGTGCTGAAACAGTTTTAAATTACTTTTGAAGACTTATGTCTTTTAAATTAATTTTGGAGGAGCTACAAGAAAAGCTACATTTTGTACTCAATAAAGTGCATAAACGTGCAAGATGTATTATCAAGACAAGTTTACAATCTAACCTATAGCATATAGCTTACTTCTCTTTAATTTGAACCAATGAACCAAAATATTGTAAGTCAAACAATAACTCTAAAATTCTCAGGAAAATGATTCAGAGAGCAAGAGAAGTTTATCACCAATAGTCTAGGCAAGAACATGCTCCATCTCTAAAATGATGGAAGCGAAGCCTATCTCGAACAACAATCTCTCTGTTAGCAACAATCGAGATATACTTGATGGCTAAATGACAATCCTCACAAATTCTGAGGTTCTTCACTATTCTTATATCCATACCGGAACTGGTTTTCAAGAGCCCAAATGCTATTGCAAGCTTCTCACTGTGGTATCTAAGAGCGAATTCCCTCTCCTCTTCTTCCAATTCATGCATCACAGATTCTGGTGCTGGCACATAACCTACTTCCCTACATCTGCACATCAATTCATCTAAATACTGATAGATTTCATTTGTCTCTGGGTGTGACTTGTCACCCATGCTAAACGAATAAGTCTTATGATCAATGTCTATTGTGCTGAAGCCAACTTGTTTCTTCAAGGAATTTCTGATCATTATGTTTCTGACAACTTCCACTCGATCCATCCTACCTGCCAAAGCATATATGTTTGAAAGCATCACATAATGGCCTGGATTATCTGGCTCAATAGATAAGAGATGCTCAGCAACTTCAACTCCAAGATCATATTTCTTATGTATCTTGCAGGCTCCAAGCATTGCAGTCCAAACTGCTGGTGCTGGTTCATCAGGTATCATTTCTTTGATGAATCGATATGCTTCAATGACATATCCGGCCCTCCCTAGCATATCCACCATGGAAACATGATGCTCCACTCCTGGCACCAATGCATATTCTTGGGTCATACTAGCAAACACCTGACGCCCTTCTTGAACAAGCCCTGCATGAGCACAGGCCGATAACAAAGCCACAAATGTGATATTGTTAGGTTTTAGACCACAAGCTCTCATTTTGACAAAAAGCTCAATTGCTTGACTGCCGTAACCATGCATTCCATACCCTGAAATCATTGCTGTCCAAGCAATGACATTCTTTTCATTCATCAAATCAAAAACTTCTCTAGCTTTGCTCACATTGCCACACCTAGCATACATGTTAATCAACGCAGTACCAAGCACCACATTCACATCAAACCTATTACCAATAATGTAGTCATGCACCCAACAGCCTAAACTAACCGCACCCATCTGAGCACAAGCGGATAGCACACATACAAACGTAGTAGAATCTGGTTCAACACCTAAATCTCGCATCATAAAAAACAGTGAAATTGCTTCCCTAGCAGACCCGTTTTGCTCGTATCCTGATATCATCGAATTCCAAGCCACAATACTTCTCTCAGGCATTTTATCAAACACCCTACGCGCCACGCCAACCTCTCCCGATTTTGCATAGAGGCTCACAAGGGCAGCCTGAACGTAAGAATCCAAACCATACCCAGAAGTAAAAACATGACAATGAACAGATTTACCGATTCTCAATGACGATAAATCAGCACACGCTTTGATCACAGACGTGAAAGTGTAATTTGACGGTGAAATATTAGCTGATATCATCCGGCGATAGTACAGAACGGATTCAAGAGAGAAACTGAATTTGGAGGTTGATTTAATAAGTGAACTAAAGAGAAAAGAATCTGGATTTGAGACGGAAAGAAAAATCCGGCGCAAGTAGCGTAGTGGCGACCCAGCGGCGCAAGCCAGATTGACGAGCTTGGTGAGGAGGGCTCTGCTGCAGCCAGCGCCCGAAACGATGAGCTGCCCATGGACTTGTTGCAGCAGCTTGAGGCGTGGACCTGCTTGGAGAAGGGCTTGGAAGGCTGGGGAATGCGATTGTGATGACGGTGTCGGTTGGGCGTTGTGAGGTGTTTGTTTGATGTCCATGGAAGTTTGCCATGAAAGGCAGAAGGAGGGAAAATGGCACGCCCGAGGGAAATTGATTAAAATACCAATTTATTCCCTCAACTTCTAGATTTGTACCAAATTTGTCCTTAAACTTTAAAAATTATCCTTCAACATGATTTTTTATTGGTACCTTTTTGGTCCTTCTGTTACGCTGATTTGTCACATAAAGTCTTGATAATTTTTTTGATTTTTAATGTCAAATATGGTGTGGAAATTTATAAATATATTACTTTGTTTACCTAGACAATTTTTACTATTTATGTGGTATTTAAATATTATATGATTCAAAAAACTTATAGACACTAAAAAAATCTTCTCACATAATTAATTAATTAAAATATAATAAAATGTCAAAAATAACAATCTTTAACCTTAGTTTCTTTCATTTTCCTTGTCTCACCTCTTTCTCCCTCTTCCTTCGTTACCATTTCTTCACCCGTCTACTCTCACATCTCTTCTGATGTGTTCTCCATCGTATAGAATTGGGTAGCCCTCCTCTTCACATAGCATTGGTTCTTTGGTTTTCAACCTTCTTCCTTCTTTTCCCTCCTCCTCCTTTATTTTTCTTCTTCTTTCCCTCTCCTCCCTTCTTTTTCCTTCTCTTCCTCCCTCCTTGATCTATTGAAGGAGAACCCAGATTTGGGTTCTTGCACTTGGAAGAGGATGACAAAGGAGAGAGAAGGAAAAAGAAAAATGAAGAAGGAAAGAGGAAGAATATAATGAGTTTTTATAAATTTTTGTTAGAATTTTTATAATTTTGATAGTATAGTGTGTTATTTGGTTGTTAAAAAAATTGGAAGTCGAAAGAAAATTTCCTTTATAAAATTGTATTTGGTTCCTAAAAAAATCTCAGATGATAAGAGAAACTTTCATTGTTATTGAGAAATTTATATAAATCAAAGAAGAAGATGAATAGAGGAAATAATTCCCAAATCTTTTCTAGATTGTTTGATTTTGTTTAATTAAAGGTAATTGATAATTTAAATCTATTGTTAATTATGTAATTGATTGGTTAATATGTTAATTGCATAATTAGTTATTACTTTTTTAATTCATCATCTTTTTGATAAACTTTACTTATATATTTTTTAATTAATTAATTAAAAAGTATAATTTATAAAATATGTGGCTTCTTATTGGTCTATATCAAAATAAAAATGTCATGTAAAAAAAAAAAATACCACTTTATCACTTTTTGTTCGTTTCCTTTACCAAATCACTATTTTTTTTTAATTTGTGATTTTCTGGCAACTTAACTGCCACTTGTCAATTCTGTTCACGAAAGGACAAAATTGGTATCCAAAATTAAAGTTTAAGGATATTTTTAGTATTTTTTGAAGTTTAAGGACAAATTTGATACAAATTTAAAAGTTGAGGATCAGATTGCTATTTTAACCCCCAATAAATTTGCAGCGGAACGCACCGTTTCACAGTTTATCCAAACTTTCATCTCATTGACTTTTTTTTTCTTAAAAAAAAAGAAAAGAGTTATGCACATATATATAAATATATATATATATATATATATTGTTGTCTAAACTGCACTTCTATAACTATTGGCATTGATAAAGAGGTGAAGCCTTTATCATTTCATCAATGATTAAAAGTAATATAATTTATATAAAACGGATTGCATTATAGCATTATTTTTTTTATACATTGAGAACTTAAGTAATTAATTAGCATTGCAAGAATTTTAAACTCTAAATTTTAATTTAAATCAAAATTTTTATATTAATAAATATTAATTCGATCAAATTCATGCTCTAGTCACATTTTCTACAATTGCATTGAATAATTCTAAAATTACATTAAATAACGAGTAAAACAAACATCAAAACCATTTAAAAAGTCAACTTGTAAAATCATATTTAAACAACTTTTTATTGTGTTAGTTTATTAAAGATATTTAAATATTTTTATTATTATTCTTGACATTTTAATTATAAAAAATAAGTGAATTTTTCACAATCCCTTAAATAATACCAAAATACTAATAAGACTGCATTGAAGCCCAAAAACTCAGAAGTAGATTAAGGCCCAAATCCATTATCGTTACAAGCCATTTAATGAGCCCAAATCAAATGTCGGGTCACCCACACTCCCGAGTAACGAGTCACGACACAGACGAACTCACCGTCACCGTTGCCGCCTTCGCCACGTTTGACCTCCAAATAGAAAGACTAAGAAGCGCCACTTTTCTTCCATTTTGCACGGACAGACCTCCGGAGCCCGCCACCGCCTTCTCTCCGAACCTACGAGGGTTTGAACTCCACAGTTCACTACCGAGAACGACAGAACCAACCGGACCTCAAAAACAATAGCCATGGAGGACGACGATAATGAGTGCTACCAGCAGCAGAATGAAAAGGAAGAGGAAGAGGATGACATGACGCAGGAGGATGCCTGGGCTGTGTTTGGTGCGGCAAAAGCTTGATTAATTCGACGACTTTATCCAGAACACAATGCAGGAAATCGTCGACGAATCTGCTGATATTGAGATCCGTCCTGAGTCTCAGCACAATCCTGGTCACCAGTCCGATTTTGCCGAGGTCATATATTTTCTCCCTTTGCTTTTGAGGTCATGTTTTGTTCCCTTTGCTTTTGAGGAGGGGAAAGTTCAGGGAGTTCTGGCTGCGGTTTGTTCTGTTCTAAGGTTTACAGTTAGTGGCAATTTAGCGGAGTTTGCTCGGAGTCCATTGTGCTGACTTACCTGTTTATCTTTTACTTAGGATACTTTGGCCTATGTTCTCTACTATCCTCAAAACCCACTTGTTACCACACGAGGTATGGAACACCTCCACTTTAGGCAGCTTCCTGCTGGCATTGTAAGTATTTAGACTTTGTTACCTATAGTCATATTAAGCTCCAGTTTTTGTGTTAATTGACTAATTCTAACCATGTTTTCTGTACTTCATGCTCTAGAATGCAATTGTTGCGATTGCCTGCTATTCTGGGTATAACCAAGAAGATTCTGTTATCATGAACCAGTCATCAATAGACCGTGGATTCTTCAGATCACTCTTTTTCCGTTCTTACAGCCAAGATATTTCTGGCATTTATTCCTCTGTCCTTTTCTTAATTTGGGGTCTGTTCAATCCCATGTGTTTCAGTTCATTATCTTTGTTAGAGTTCATTTTGAATTGCTATCTGTTGCAGGGATGAGGAGAAAAAGATGGGAACACTTGTCAAAGAAGATTTTGGACGACCAGACAAGGCTAATACCATGGTCAGAACTAGATGATTATCAATCTTTGTTATTAGCCATTTGAAGCATTGGCATCTAAATAAGAAATCTTTTGGCAGGGCATGCTGCATGGCTCATATGATAATTAGTTAGATGATGATGGGCTTGCACCTCCTGTAAGAATATAATGCACTTCTCTGTTCACCTCCTGATCGTAAGAGAATAGTCAATACTACAAGCTTCTTCTGAAATTAATATTTTATTGTTTTATAGGGGACAAGGGTTTCAGGTGAAGATGTAATCATAGGAAAGACCACTCCCATTGCTCAGGAAGAAGCTCAGGGTCAAGCGTCACGCTACTCAAGGCGTGATCATAGCAAAAGCTTGAGACATAGTGAAACAGGCATGGTGGACCAAGTAGATTCTGATAATTTATTTATTTATTTTGTTTTAGTTTCACCATATTTATATATGTACATGGAATCAGGAATTTCTTCTTTGTAATTGAAATTGATCCTTGTTGCACTGGAATTCAAGTTTTGGAAACTTTTGTCTTCTCCCTGATCAATCTGGTTCTTTTATAGGTTCTACTGACGACAAATGCTGATGGATTGAGATTTGTTAAAGTAAGGGTAACATCAGTTAGGATCCCCCAGATTGGAGACAAGTTTAGCAGTAGGCATGCCCAAAAGGGAACTGTGGGCATGACTTACACACAGGAAGACATGGCATGGACTGTAGAGGGTATCACCCCTGAAATTATTGTGAACCCACAAGCCATTCCTTCTAGAATGACAATTGGTCAGCTTATTGAGTGTATCACGGGGAAGGTTGCAGCTGACATGGGGAAGGAAGGAGATGCCACACCTTTTACTGATGTTCACTGTAAGTTTTTCACTCTATTCAAGCTCATGAAGTTTAGCTTATTTCATGTTCTTCTATCTTGATGGTTGGGACTGTGCCACTCCTTTTATAAATGCATTTTCATATGCACACTATCTCGTTTGTTGAGTTTGGGAGTTTTGTAGTCATATATGAATTATAATTATTTTCATATTTTCTTGTTAATTGATATTTTTTGGTGGATAATATCAGCAGAGCTCTCCATAAACGTGGGTATCAAATGCGTGGCTTTGAGACCGTGTATAATGGCCACACAGGCAGGCGACTTACTTCTATAATATTCTCGGCCCGACGTATTATCAAAGATTGAAGCCTATGGTCGATGATAAGATCCATTCTCGTGGAAGAGGTCCTGTGCAAATTCTCACAGGGCAGCCTGCAGACGGCCGATCTCGTGATGGTGGTCTTCGATTTGGAGAAATGGAACCGGATTGGATTGCATGATTGCTCTCAAAGAGAGGTTGTCTGACCAAAGTGATGCATACAGAATTCATGTTTGAGAGCGTTATGGGTTGAATGCGATTGCAAATCTGAAGAAGAATTCATTTGAGTGCCAAGGTTGTAAGAATAAAACTGATATCGTTCAGGTAATTATTTTTTTTCAAGTCACTTAATACTAGTTTAAATTCATTTTGTTCACATCCTTACCTTTGTCACCCCCACTCCCCTTGAAAAAACGAATTGAGAGAGAGAGAGAGAGGTCCTAAATCCCAATTTGTGTTTGTTGTTGGGATGACAATTTTGTTGCGGGTGCACATTCCTTATGCCTGTAAGCTGGTCTTCCAAGAACTCATGGCCATGGCTATTGCTCCAAGAATGCTAACAAAGGAACCTCCCAAGTAGCAAAAGAAGAATGGAGCCTGAGATACGCGATCACAATAACCTTCGTGTTGTTTCTTCTCACTCCTTGCTGTTGTTAGCCGTGTTACTTGTATAGGCGACAATTTTGCGGAGGCAAGGTCATAGAGTGTAAGACTAAGATCACTACAAAGAAAAAGGAAGAGGTTTTATACTTTTGTAAAACTCTGATGAACTTGTAGAACTCCGTGATTAAATGAAGAGGATTGATGTATATTTTCAATTTTTTTCAAAAAAAAAAATTTATTTTTTATGTTCACGATTGGTCAAATCTAAAATTTCATTCAAATGGTGCTCTCTCCCTTGTGGATAGCATATC